AGCTAAGCCTAACTATACCAACACTTACCAAGCAAACCATTTTGTATATTTCACAAGAAAGTTCTTACTCATGGGCATTTATAATTAATTCTGATTACCATAAGGTGAACATGTTGAACCCTATTATATAGTAGCTCAAATTATATCTCCTCTATTTTGCTGACAAAAGAGGCCTTAAATAAACAAAAGCCTTCCAACTTAAGTACATAAGTAATGCACTGAACAAGCTTTATAGGCCAGTTAATCACAGTTCTTCAACATTACTCAAACCACTTGTGTAGAACTGGCCAACAGATCCCCCAATTAAGGGTTAGTAACATTGATGAAGGTTGCTGATACAACTACACTGTGTGCAAGTTGTATTTTGGAGGATTCATATTACTGTTGAACAACTATAGTGCTCTGGGTCAACTGAAAATGTTAATAAACCTCAAACCTGAATATTGAAGAAAGTAAAAGTGAGAATTCGTCTGTAGAGTCACTCAACTCATCAGTCCATAAATTTTTTAAAAAAATCTGTCTTCAGATATTTCTTGGCCCAGTCTTGTTAGGAATGATAGTCACCTAACTGTTGGGTTGGCAATATATAAACCAGGATAGTTATTTAATACTGTTGTATCTTTAAGAGAGTGCTGTAATTGTGATTGGCTGAGGTTCCTCTGACGGCCATAAGATGGAGCCAGAAACCTGGTTTGTCTTCTTGCATTTCCCTATTGCCTTTTGCCTGATCGTGGTTCTGCTTGGATTGCTGTGAGTCTTGCAAACTGTTAGCAAACTCGGTTTACTGAACTTTATGATACGGGACTTCGTTTTTGGATTATCCCTGGACTGATTGTATTGAATACTACCTGCTTTAACCGTGTATGATTTGGACTGTTCGTTGGACTTTGTTTACCTGTTTACAGGAAGTAAAACCTACATTTTACCATTCAGTGTATCTATAGGCTAGTTGTGTGTTATTCCTCACCACTCTCTCTATGTTTCCCTGAGTGCACTCATTCTCCTAATGGGGAATACCTCAACAAGTCTTGCCATTTCAACTTATGTGTCTTGTTCAGTGGTGGTCAGGTTTCAGCCTTCCTTGGCCATGTCTTTGAGCACTGAACACCTTGTACTTCTGGGCACTCCTGGTAGGTTGCAATTCTGGAATATGACAGCACTGGAGGATAATGAGTTCCTAGTAGTTTCACGTTTGATTCTTCTCAAATCTTCGGCAGTTAATGTGCATCTTTTTTTTCTCAACACATTTCTTGCAACCCTGTTGACTATTTGAAACAAAATGTTTGATGGTTCTGTGAATATGCCCCAATATCTCAACCATTTCAAGAGCGCTGCATCCCTCTGAAAGACTTCTTACAATTGTTGACTTTTCAAAACCAGTTGAATCTCTTTTTTTGGCCCATTTTGCCTGAGGAAAAGAAGCTCCCTAATAATTATGCACACCTCGATATAGAGTATTGATCTCCTTAGGACACACACCCTCTCTCATTACACAAAAACACATCACCTGGTATGCTTATATACACTAAGCATTCAAGTTTACACAGCTCGGAGGTGGAAAATATGCATAAAAATGATGATATGGTCAAAATACTCACTTGCCTAATAATTGTGCATGCAGTGTAGAGTGCAACTTCAAATTCTTATTGTTCAAATAATCATATCTTACATCAGCAGTTACAATGCTGGTATCCAAAGAGGCACAACAATTCACAATATTCCAAGTACATTCATGACAGTTGCTAAAAAAAAGGTCAATCTCTCTTCCCATTTTTTAGAATCATATAGATCAGTGATCCCCAACCTTTCTTATGCCGTGGCCCGGTATCCCCAACCTTTTTTATGGCGCGGGCCGGTACCGGCATTAGCTGGGCGCCGCCATCTTTTTTTGATGAAAAAGTGCTTCCGGTGAGCTTTCTACCCGGAAAAGCTCACCGGAAGCACTTTTTCATCAAAAAAAGATGGCGGCGCCCAGCAAACCAGCGGCCCGGTAGGACTTGTTCCACGGACCGGTACCGGTCCGCGGACCGGTGGTTGGGGACCCCTGATATAGATTATACTTTCACTACATATTGTATGCCTGCTGATTGAATTAATTAGCACTGTTATTCATAGCCTAAAATTTAACTTTCTGATCCTTTAGGAAGTCTATCACAACATACAGTAGGTGTCCAAAAGGGAGCATGTAATATCATGACATAATACACCCCATCACTTATGTGGAACTCAAGTAAAGCTGATAAAACCTAATGGTATGTTTGCAAACCTGGCCAACGAAATGTTGTTGTCCAAGTTCTTTTCACTGTTTTAAGTCTATGGGAACATGGGTAAGGAGAATCTAGCTTAAACTCAACTTTTCTGTCCTGTCTCATGCACAGAGGTGGATTTGTGGCTATGCAGATATGCAGATAGATAATTGCACAAAACATCCATAACAAAGTACAATTATTGGTACATCAGGTATCTTCATAACTCACATTTGTTACGAAGCTCTTCTATAATGACCAATCCTTTGTATATCAGCATTGCAGGTAAAAAATGGTTATTTTCCTAACCCATCACGTAGCAATAGAAAGAAAGCTGTTATCAGTCCATGAGTGCAGACAAGAATGGAGGAAACCTCCCTCAACCCTTGGAGGGGCAATTTAGTGCCCAACCAGGATTACAGATGTGGCCACGTGACATGAACTACATTTCCCAGAATACCTTTAACTACATTTACCATAATGCATTCCCTTAAGGGGACAGCTCACAATTCCTTAGTAACTATCCAACTCCCGTAGACTGGCTGGGACAGCACATCAACCTTTGTAAGCTGAGCAACTGTGGATTCTAGGTCCCCTTACATCTCAGAATTTTCTGTCATTGGTTCTGACTGGGGTTGCATTGCCCAGCAGGACATTATGATCTTTGTGTGTACGTCCTAAGTGTTTTTGTTATCTTAGTGGCATTTAATATATGATTGAGCTTTTAATTTGAACTGAATTATATGTTTATTTTACTCGTACTTGTGTTCTATTTATTGTGTATATTTTCAAGGTAAAAAGCATAATAAAAATGGACAAACAGACAATTACATTCCAGTGTAATTTTCTGTCCCTTCAAGGATAGGTGGAGCACATTGGGGGGGGGGGGGGGGGGCACTGGTTGCTGGAAAAGACCTAAGACATAAATCATGGTTTACAAGTTACATTGTGTTAATTCACACACTATGCTGTAAACTACACCAAGCTCATTGTAGTTTAGCTATTACAGTAGATATAAGTTATTAACTGCTTGCTTGGAAATAATAAAGCTAATTTAAGTAATGTATTGAACAAGCTTCCAATTTTATTTTTGCACATTGATTTTGACTAAGCAATTAAATGAGTTAATTTACTGTCACATAATAACATTTATACTAACTAGGTAGGGAGACACAACAGTTCTTGAATTTCAAAGTTTGTTCTTTATAGCCTACACATATACAAATGTCTGGTTTTAGAAATGTAGAATTCAGAATTTGCAAGAAAAGGGCTTTTAAAAATTGGGGAAAATAAATGGATTGGCATGTTTAAAGTGGAATATCCTTGCCGGTTTGTAGAAAGCAATGCTACAGTCATATACTATTCTCAGGTGACAACCAGTTATTGCATCTAGAAAATAAAAATCTGGACAACCATTTGTCGATAGTGAAAAAAAAATACAGGAAATAAAGTAACTTCACTGCTAATTAGTGATTGTCTAGATTTTTGTATCTAGACAATAATCTTACTTGAGAAGATCTTTAATTTAGATCAATAGGATTTGGGGTATTTCTGTATTGACCTCACTGTAAGTATACTGGAACCCCTAATTTTATAAAATGGAATTATTTGCACTTTCTTCTGTCAGAAGTCATAATGTGAATCACATGGTATACTGCAAGGGGCTTGCATGTAAAATTATATAAAAAAACAACCTTTGCTGTACCCCAACCGGTGCTGCAGGCTTCTCCAAAAAAACAAACTTGAAAAACGGCTGCTTTGCTTACACAATTTCATCAGCTTAAAAACAATTACGACCCTTTCTACAAGTTGTCAAAACATGTCACCAGTCAAAACCCCTTGGCTTACCACATTGTGCGAACCTAGCTGTCGCTGTTTTTTTTGTTTCTTTTATAAGATTATATTTTATAATCGCAGCTCTTCAACGTTACTCAAAGTACTTGGGCAGTACTGGCCAACATATCCTGTAGAAAAAATTTGTTAGTAATGATTCTTACGAACAAGTTGGTCATTCCCGAAACATTTCATTAATAGTTTTCCGGCTGTTTCAGAACGACCCTCTCCCAATAACAAACGAATCGATAACCTTGGAAAAAGGATCCCTCCTACGCAAGGAAAAGCAACCTTTACGCCAATTTCAGATAACTATTTTAGATAGTTCTGCATTCTGCGCAATAGTGAACTGGGCGTAGGAGAGCCGAGCCACAATCCTTGAATCATTTTGCAAAATCCACCTGCAATTCGAAAAACACAAATGAAGATTCGACGCTCTTTATTTTTATTGTGTCAAGTCTCCTTCCGCCAAAACAGCCTCACTCTTGCAGGTGGTTATATAGTAAGATTTCGAATCCTTCCGCTGACACCACCTACCCATCATGCTTTGCGAATGCGCATCCTGACAGACGGAGTAGACCGACTTGACCGTTTCGCATATCCTAACCCCTCCCCCTCCTCGAAAATATTATTCTGTCCCTTTTCCCGCGCAACGGCTGTTTTGTTCCCACAGAAACCAACAGAAAGAAACACCGTCCGCGCGCGGCGGAGGGAGGGGGGGCGAAAGAAGCGGCGGAGAAGTATAGTTCCGGCGCTAAGCGAGCGCCGCAGCGGCTGCCGCGGAGTCAGTTGCTGGCTGGCTGGGCCGGTAAGTGAAGAGGGAGGGAGCGAGTGGGTGCGCGAGTGCGGGGGAGGGGCCGGGGAATTGAGTGGCAGCGGTTGGCTCCGCGCTGCGGCGGCGCTGCCTTCTGGCTGGGACGAGGCGGGAGTGAAGGAAGGGGCGAGGCGGCTTTTCTCATTTCCCTCTCGGGCGCCATTTTGTAGCGCAGCGAACCAGCGAATAAAGAGCGGGCGGGAAGCGGAATGTGGCGGCGGCGGTGGTGACCGTTTCAGGGCGGTGGTTCTAAGTTTATCGATGCGACAGGAGAAACCGTCCTTGGAAGTATCTGGAGCGATCTGGACACGACGCCTTAGCGGCGCCGCCATCGGCGGGAGGTGAGTGGTGGCCTACTCCTTTTCCCGCGCGAGCCGCCGCCGACTCCAGCCTTAACGAGAGACCGCCGGGAAGAACGAAGAAGAAGAGATTGCGAAGGCCGTCCAGTGGGGATCGGGGCAACCCTTCGCGAGGCTCGACGTTGCCACGCCTGTAGCATCTTCTTGCTTGTCGCTCGCCCTCCCCCGCCCGCCGCGATCTTCCTGAAGGCCCATTTTAGACAGGCGATCTTTATTTTCGAGAAGATCTTGATTTGTTTACCTAGATGGCCATAAGGCTTAGGAGAATCTGAAGAGGTTCTTCTTATATTGTTCGTTTGCAGAACAGTTCCAAACGTGTGCTATTTTTATTATAGCGTGCCTGAGAAGCTTGGAAGTATAGATATAAAGGCACGTGTCTAAAAATTATAAAGTCTCGAAATTTATGCACGGGAGTGTCTTAAGTCTTCAGAATAAATGGGTTGAATTGGACTGCGCATCACATGCTTGTGTTTTTAAGACCTTAGCTTGCAAAAATGGTTTTAAGTTTGTCAGTATTTTATGTCTTAGCAATTCTTTTCAATAAAAAATAGGATAGATTATGTTGCTATATTTTATTAGGAAGTTAACAGTGATTCTGGAGGAAAATTTAGTTTGATTTACCCTTAAAACCATAAACTGACCTAGATTTCATTATATTTACATACTCTGCTGAACTATTGATATTTTACTTGGCAGTTTTGCCACTGTGTGGACAACAGTTGTATAAAATCTAAAATGTTACTGGTTATTTTCCATCTAGCAAATGACTCTTCAAAATGATGTCCTCCTATGTGAAATTATAAATCATCTGTTTCAGCATATCCAATAATTGGTAGAAATGAGAATTGTAGCCTAATGCACTTGCAGAAGACCCAAGTTGGGGGGGAAGGCAGATCAGAGACAGAATATTTTTGTTCATTCTACAGGTTGCTTAGAAAGAATCTAGCACACCATTGATGTGCTAGATTGCAATGAATATGTTACATGCAGTGGTGATCCAGTTGGCTATGAAATAAACTGCCCATGTAAAAATTAGTTATATGTCACATGTAGAAAGTCAGTTATTATATTGACCAAGTTGTTCAGTGTACAGTTACTATAAATCACAATGTACACAATTCCATTTGTTAAAATTATATAGCCAGGTTTATATGAGATGAGGTATTTATACAACAATTTATATTACTAAGTGTTTTAACTATAGTTGCTATTATATCTGTTTCAGTCCAGTGATTATTATGAGCAGAGGAAAAATATTTTTCATTGGAATAAAAATTTCAATGAAATTTATTTAATAAGCTTGAGAAAAACAAATAATTTTAAGTTGAAATTGGCTTGCTCTACTGAGTATTTATTTGGCAAAGTTTACTATAGCATAGTAATGTCTAACAATACATACTGTAATTTCTATTATACTCTTACATTTTGGGGGTTATATATACAACTTTGGGGTCAGATTATGTTCTTACATTTTAAGATTGTACATAAGAGATGAAGGCTGTATGCAGAACAATATCTCAATTTCTAAAGTCCCTAAATCTGTTCCAAATAAATCTTAGCATGCAAAAGATAATTATTTTAGAATTAGAAGTCATCTAATATAAAAATGGATAATATTTATTTGCAGTAGAAAAAATAAAATTTCAATAAAGCTACTGAATATAAACAGATTATTGTTATTGTAATTAGTTTGAAACAAATGATAGAAAGTCTGGGTTAATCAAATTTTATGGTATGATAAAAAAAAAGAACTGTGGTTGATCCTTATGGGGGGGAACCCTTAAAATAATCAGAACTCAGTCATTGTATGGAAAACTACAAGAGAGTAAAGTCAAAACATCCTGTGAGATAGTAAGCCAGTTCTGTAGTATTGCCAAAAAACCCTACACTGATCTGTGTTAGGGTTTTAAATTGTGCTTAGTTTTTGCATTTTGGAATTTATAATTAAAAACAGATTATTAAATTCTCTGATAATTTAAGTAAAGGGTTCCTTATAGGCTCCTCAGATTGAATTTATATGGCATTATATAAAATAGCAGCATTGTTAATTGCTGCATGCTTGTTGCCATTCTGCACTGGTGCTGTGAAATAGATCAGCCTGAAAAATAGTGACTGCCTCATTTGGTAAAACTAAAGTTTTAGAGTTCTAGTCTGATGCTGATAATTACAACTATCAGTGTTCTAAAACTTTAAGCGAAACATTTTCTCTACTATATATTTATTTAAAACATATATTTGCCCATCTTATAAACAATAGGGTCAGCTTTCTACTAGTTATGGAAAACGTTAGTTTTGGATTACCTATGTAGTGCAGAAAAATAATATTTGAAAGTCAATAAATGTGATCCTGGGTTGATTACATTCTGAAATGGCAAAAACCCTAAATTTAATATGGCAAAGTTATCTGTAATAGGATGGATCTGTATTACACAAGCAGTAGTGAGCTTTCATATATATTCAGACATTCTCAGAAATTATTTAAATGTTCATTATTGTTGAAAATAAATGTCTTAATTATCCACAAAATGAGGAAAATATTTTTGTAACATAGAGTTCTGTAGGGCTTAATTGATACATTTCTCAAGAGTTATAATGTGTATACATAAATTGTTGAAATTAAAAGTTTTTATTATTTTCCAAAGCTATTATAAAAATGTACTACATATACTCAAACTGATTGGAACTTACACTTGTAAGAGGGTGAAATAATAATAGTGTTATTTCTTCTACAGAATTCACAATGACTAATGAAGAGCCACTTCCAAAGAAGGTAATCTGGAAACATGTATTCTACTATTACTTTTCTTTGTCAATGCTAGATGAAATAATTCAATGAAATTATTTTTGTGCAGGCCCGTCTCAGTGAAACAGACTTCAAGGTTCTACCTAGAGAAGAATTAATCTTAAGGTAAAATAATGGTCTATTTCATAATAACAAAAAATCATTTATCATAACTTACATAGAATAATTTGGATCTTAATACTTTATTGAATAAGGACTAATAAAGAACTATTTTTGCATATGAAAATGTTAAAAAGTTTAATTAAGCTAAATCAGACATTTGGGAGAATTAAATGCTTAGAATACCAAATTTTGTAGTTCATGATTTATTGAGATTCAAAACGAATTTCAGAAAAATGAAAAGATAAGTATCCCATTATTTATAGACAGTCCTTGACTTATGGTCACAACTGAAACCAGAATCTTTGATCTTTGTTCAAAGATTCCTGTAAGCCGCCTTGAATCGCCATATGCGAGTAGGCGGCAATATAAATTTTCTAAAATAAATAAATAAATAGAGTGAAGTGGTTGTTAAGTGAGATGTCATGTGGCTGTTTTGCTCAATGACAGTAGTCCCGTTGTCATTGAGTGATCTGGGTGGAGAGAGCTGCCTGCTGGAGGGAGATTACCTCATATGGAGTCAAAATCTTCCAGTGGGCAGCACTTCCACTGTCAAACAGCTGCCTGGTGGAAGAACTCTGGCCAGACGGAGTCAAAATTTTCCTGCTGACAGCCCCTTTTTTTTCAAAGAGCTGCCTGCCAGAGGTATTTTCCCCAGATAGGTCTGAATTTTGTATGGTGGGTAGCCCTTTCACTCTCAAAGAGACTGGTTGAGAAAGATGTTTGCAGCCAACTCCCAAAGATGAGAACATCCTCTGATTTCTGGGGTCTGGCTGCAAATGTGCCATACTACAAATGCTCTGTGCTGAGACCCTGTTTGGATCTCAGGATAGACCTTTTTTAGCCTGCCCCAAGAAACCAGAGGGAGTTCTTTTAGCAGGCAGTACTGGCTTTCCCTGCCAACTTCCCTGTTGACTTTCTGGGGAAGCTATCACAGAAGTTTGCAAGTGGTGATCAAATGGTTGTGAGGTGCTTGGCAACCAGTTGTAAATGAACGTGTTATGAAGAGCCCAGATTGCAATCATGTGACCACAGGGATGCTATAATGACCATAATATCAGGTACAGGTCATAAATCCCTTTGCTCAGTGCTATCATAATTATGAATGATTGCTGAACGGATAGTCATTAAGCAAGAATTATCTGCAGTTTGATCCAAACATTTCTATTGATCATAAGTTGGCCCCGAACCATTTTTGGCTAATCTCTTAAAAAAATAAATCAGTGTTCATAGAATTCATTGGAAGAGGTCCTTTGAAATATGGTTTCACAAATTAGGATCTTTCTGCAATTTGTTAAAGCAGTTATGTTTTATGAGTTAGTACAATTGCTGCAGGGCTGCTCTTGAAGTTCAGGCCTGAAAACAAGCATATTTTGGAGCATCTCTTCTAAATCAAATCTGAAGTGCTGCATAATTCTCCTGGTTAATATTTGAATTGAGGACTGTCAGGATAGCTAAGTGTTATTGCTAGATGAAGACTTTGAAAAAGACAACTTGGAAGAAGGCAGTGACAAGCCACTTCCTAAAGAACACTATGTGGAAGTGTCTATAAAGTCATCAGGACAGAAGCATTATTCAAATATTTACCCATGTAATGGATATAGGGTCCACATATTGCACTAGGCTATTATTAATCCTGATTCACATAACACATAATGATATATCAAATGCATGATAATTTGGAAAGCACAATGGCAGGTGTACGAATCTTTTTCTTTGCATATCTGAAATTAGTTTAAAAGTACAATTATGTGCATGTAATATATATTTGGGTTGGGCTAAACAAGCATGAGAAAGATCTCAATTCAATTTTCAATTTAGTGACCTTGAGCCAGTTGTTTATAGCAGCATCCCCAACCTTTTTGGCACTAGGGACCAGTTTTGTGGAAGACAATGTTACCATGGTCTCCAGTAGTGGTGGTTTCTGTTTTGCTTGCTCACCACATGCTTCCGGCTGTGCGGCCCGGTTCCTGACAGGCCATGGCCCTCAGATTAAAAGCAGTTAACAATTTCACTGAACTATTAAAATCTATTAAATATAGTTTGCAAGGATAGAAAAGTATGGGGAGATAAGGCAAATGATTTTGTTGTACATTATATTTATCTTTTGATTTTCAGCTATGTCTTTATATTTATTTTCTTAACTCCTTTTCTAAATTTTACATTATATTGCTTATCCTCTGAAAATGAATAGTGTGGTGGGTATGTATGTATTTTAAAAAACTAATCAAAATAGGCAGAGATGAAAAAACTGAAAAAGATACAAATTATTAAAGAAAGTTAACTGTAAACCTGTTCAAACAATATTGCCTCTGCCTTGGCTCACACATAAGATTAGGTAATTCGTCAAATTCTCCAAAAAAAAAAAGGATTATTTTTGAAAGCAGACTACAATTTGAAATAGGGACTTGGTGTATGTTCACTGTAGCTGCTAAACTTGTTTCTAGATATTAAACTACATATCATGATAAGTAATTAAATTATTTAATGAAAGCTGTAAGGTGGGTTTAATTGTATACTGCTACTTTTTTAAACCATATACACAATTCAGAAATGTTTTTTTCTTTGTTTAGATGGAAGCAGTATGAAGCATACGTGCAAGCTCTTGAGGGCAAATACACTGATCTAAACTGTAAGTTGAAAATCAGCTGAATATATAATTAGACCCTGCCATATTCTTTGAAAAGTGGAAGTAATAATAAAAAATTGAGGTTTTTGGAAGTGAATTATTGGACAACATATGGACATAGCAACTAAAATATATTCCTATAGTATGTACATTTTTAAGTAAGTTTGAACCTATTAATTCACGAATTGGTAACTTAATATTTATCACCTGCTTGAGGAAGATTATATACTAATGCCATCAGGCTAGTCTTCCTATCAAAGTAAATCGCAATAAGTTGTTTTTATCTGATCTCTAGCATTCAAAGTAATTGATTAATAATTTTTCCTAAAACTAATTTAGAATCACAATTAAAAGGATTAATGATTAGAAGTTATTACATGAACTATCTTCTTATCTTTTGTTGCAAACTTTAAAAAAAACTTACTGGGAAAAGGAGATTAATATCTAGCATAAAACTGATACAGGCAGTCCTTGCTTAACAACCATTTGTTTAGTGAGTGGCCGTTCAAAGCTACGACAATGCTAAAAACAGGTGACTTACGAGAGGTCCTTGTATTTATAACCATTGTACCATCCTCGTTATTGTGATTCCAGTGCTTGTTATTGTGATTACAATGCTTGGCAATTGTTGCACATTTAAATCATGTCATCCTCTGGTCATGTGATCATTTGTGACCTTTCCAGCTAGCTTCTGACAGGCATAGTCAATGTGGGACTGGAGTAGTAGTCACTTGATGTCTCACTTAACCATTACAGGTGATTCATTCACGACTGACAAAAAGTTGCAAAATCAGGTGTGGACACGTGATGCATAAGTTAACGACTGCACTGCTTTATTATAAGATTTTTGGTTCCAATCATAGTTATAAATTGAGGACTACCTGTTCTCAATCTCTAATGATATATTAAAATTTATACACTATATCTGAATCAATAATTTCTGATATTCATTAGGCTAGATTTTTTCTGTAATATTGCTCAGTTCACCTGTATACGTAAAAAGCAAAACACCAACCGTGTTACTCTGAATACATTTACTGAAGCAGGCCTTTGTCAATTTCAGATATTGGCATAAATATTTTCCCAGTTGATATGATAGATGAGTAAACAGTAGTTCACGTAACTGGTCTGATTATACCATCTGTTTTGTGGTAATTGTTAAATGAAACCATGTGTTACAAGTAGCACAACAATTACATTTAATTATTTTTAGTTAAAGCTTTTTTGGGATAGTCATTTCCTTATTAATGTATCCATGAAAGCACTGCTTGCTTGATAGTACCTTTAAAATGTGTTGAAATACATGTATTTTCAATTAAACCTGATTTATATTTCATTTTCGAATTCTGAAATTGATAGGGGCAACTTTTATATTACTATTTTATATTCCTATGTTTTTTATTGGATGAGAGCAGTGATATATTATTCTTGTATAGACAAATTTAGTATGTTAAGAATAAATAAGATAATCTAATTATTAAATAATCTGTAGGGCATCAACAGGCTTTAGGATTATGTTTTCTTCCTTTGAATAGTCAAGCTTGTTTACTTCTGATTTAACAACATTCAATAAGAAACCTTCATAGAATAATGAGCTTGTTAAGCTGTTGATATATCTTTGGGATTTGAGTTTAGGTTATTTTAAGTTACTCATCCTTGTCCCAGAACTATGCATCTGGGGAGAAAACATTGGCTTCACCTGCGCCCTGAGATTAATACTAAGCAATAATTAGGGACTGATAGATAGCTGTGTTCATGCAATGCCTCTGGGGTTTGACAAATCACTATTTCCTGTATCAAAGAAAGTTGCTTTCTTTTCCTTAATATAAATCTGTTGACAAAATTCAAAGTAAAATGCAAGTAGAAGAAAACTATTCTTTTTGATGCTTTTTTTGTGCTTGTAGAACTGATACCAGTAGGTGCAAATGAGCAGATTATAGTTTGTAGCTCTTACCATTCTCATACAACAGGCATGTCCAACATCTTGGCTTGCCCTGGGCTGCACTGAGTGAAGAGGAATTGTCCTGGACCACATGAAATATATAGTTAATGTATATAAACATACGTATTAATGTTGGTGGTCTTGTGGGGCCAATTACTAGCTGTCCAGGGCCGTGATTTGATAGGCCGGTCATAGAATGATCTGTATGTGTTAATGTGCAACTTGAATTCAGTTACAGAAACCTGTTAAAGTTGTATCCCTGTCAATAAGGACCCCGTATATTTTATTTGTAGCTCCCTTTAAAACAAGAAGCTGCTTTTTCCCATGGCTGTAAAAAATTATCATCATAAATTTGCAGGTGATTTTATGACATTGGGACTGAAGAGGAGGATTGTGACAGCTTGTTTGTATGATGCAGTGTCATGCCATTACTATTATCTTCTGTTCTTTTGTGAACAGTTAAAAGGCCAGTAGAAAATAATCAGAGCGAACTTTGTGTGGTGTTACCTGTGTTCTCATAGAAGTTATATATCTTCCTTTTTTACATTTGCTTTCAAAAAGGAATATTTATGATTCACATTATTTTTTCTTTGTTTTTAGATATCATTTTTATCTTATTGTTCATCTTTTTATCTTACTATTTTGAAGGATTTCAATTATAAACTTTGTAATTTCTTCCTTTTTACACTAGCCAATGATGTAACTGGATTGAGAGAGTCTGAAGAAAAACTGAAGCAGCAACAACAAGAATCTGCTCGAAGGGAAAATATCTTGGTGATGCGACTAGCAACTAAAGAACAAGAAATGCAAGAGTGTACTGTAAGTGAAATTAATCAAATCATTTGAGATTGTGTTGATAAAATCTATTGATTTGGCTTTGAATGCACAATTCTATTCATTTGTTGTGCTAATTCCTACTATTTAGCATGGTTTGAACTATAAATTTTTATCAAAACCTGTTCTAATGATGTAAAATATGTTGACATATTACTGATTTTTCAAAGAGTTGTGAGCTACCATAGTTCAATAGCAACCTTTAATGTAGATGACACAAAGATTACAAAACATATTCAATACAGAGTTCCACTAGATTGATCACTAACATTAGAAAACGTATAAATACCACTAATTTGTATTATAAAATTCTGTTGCAATGTTCACATAAATCTAAAACTAAGGCTTGCTTTTCCTTTTTGTTTGAGATGGTAATGTGATTGTGTGCAGCCCTGAATCTCTGTTTCAAAGTCCTTGAAATTACCCCCAACTACGCTACTAAAATTTGATGGCAAATTTTGGGCTGTTTCCTCTGTCCATTTAGAGGCTACAGGTAGTCCCGTTATAGCAAACATAATTGGGACATGCAATTCTGTCAATAAGTGAAGTGGTCACTAAGCTGGAAATCATATGACTGCACCTATGCTTTCCTTTTCTCCATAGCCTTTTGGAACACTCGCCCAAATAGCTATGCTATAGGGGGCTCGAAACTGACAAGACTAATCCTTTTTACACCCTCCACTTTGTTTGTGTCCTAACCACTCTTCCATAGTCTGACTAAGGAGCACTGGGAACATGTAAACGTGGGTGTTGGTCATTATTTATTTTTAGCACTATAACTTTGAAAAGTTATAATTTGAAAAGAATTTACTTTGAAAAGTTACTCTGGTTCTTTTTGATGTCACCAACTTTTTAGTAATACCACTTGCAACGCTCTAACTTATTTGGATAGTCCCAAAACTGGATAAATGATTATTAAATCCTCTGGTATTTTTTGCGGTCATTATTATGTTTAATTCTCTTGAGTTTCTAATCCTCAGCAACCCTAATGTTGAGAATTTATGATTTTTGAGGACAAAGTTTATTGTATTTATATGTTTCTCTAAACATTGTATTTTCACTATAATAGTTTACTAAATAATAAATATTATATACTGGAATAAGTGTAATTGGAATTCACCATTACAATGATATTTATTCTGCCTTACTAAAATCAAAGCTTACATTTATTTCCTTGCAATATGTAAGAATTAGGTTTTTCAGGTTATGAGATTTTGCCACCACTAAAAACTGAACATCATAAAAGACTATAAATTGGTCAGTTGAAAAATTGTTTAAATATTGTTAATATTTATTTTATAAAATTACAAATAGTATATATAAAAATATTTTATAAGATAAAATTGTGTGTGTATTGCAGTATTGCAGTGCCATTTCTTAAATTTGTGATTAGTACATGCATGGTTGTATGAATTGTTATGGTGTTTATAGCACCTATATAAATTCTGTCATATAATTTCAGAGTTCATTTTATTTTCTACTAATTTTAATAAAAAAGAAAGGATTACTTTTCAGATTGTGTGGACCAGTGATAGTATATATTGACTTAATATTTCTTTCCTTCATGCAGAATCAGATACAGTACCTCAAGCAAGTCCAGCAACCAAGTGTTGCTCAACTGAGATCAACCATGGTGGACCCAGCCATCAACTTGTTTTTCCTAAAAATGAAAGGTGAACTGGAACAGACTAAAGACAAACTGGAACAAGCCCAAAATGAACTGAGTGCCTGGAAATTTACACCTGATAGGTAAACAAAACATACTCCCCAGTCAAGACTTCCCTGACAGAGAATGCTTTGGTGGGACAACCACGTACTCGTTTCCACACCAAGACTCAGACGTTTTGAGCCAAAAGCTACATTTTATTCTGTCCAGCTTGTATTGCTTAATGTAAAACTTATCAGATGAACCTTGTGTTTCAGCTTTTCCCCCCCTTTGCTTCAGAGGCCTGACAGCGTCGGACTGTTCTGAAGAAGTGGCCACCACAGAAAATGTGTACTTTCTAGAACATGTAGACACTTGCAAAGTGGTTCTGTTTGAAGAAAATGAGGGAGAAGCAGAAGTCTAAAGTCTGTGGCACACTATGTCTACAGACAAATTGGAGGAGAACCTAGAGATTTTAAATCATGAATTGATCATATCAAATTCCAGTAAAACATATAAATGGAATGTGCTTCGCTCTTAATCCCAAACCTAGTGATGTAGAGACTGATTAAGTCAGTTTTGCCATTAAGACTGTGGACTTCCTCCTTGTTCACTGAACTGCTGGGTCAAAACTCAAATGAGGTGAATTTTGTTTAAATCACATTTTTTTTGCTAATCAGTGGTGAGAACATACACACACTCAAGTGTTGGTTTGCTTAGCATTTGGGCTTTATAGGAATTCAGTGAAACTTGTCGTGGTTTGGATTAACAAATTATTCTGTGGATGGCTGGTAAAATGTAAATTCCTAAATCTAGCGCTGTACAAACATGCAATTTAATTACTAATTTTTATATTGTTGAACAGTTGTATATACATGTGAATCTCAACTAGAATATATAAACAAAAACTAGTTGTGATTCCTATCCTATCCTTGACAGTATAAAATTGCCATATATAGTATCATCCTGAGAAAATATATGCAAACTATACAAGGCATACCAGAGTCAGTTGCCTAGATAGCACAATGCATTTGTATATTTAGTTTCATATAAAGCTGCACTCTTCTTTAAATTTGCTTTAAAATAGGTAATGTCAAGTAATTGAGAGACACAGTTGGCTGAACCACTGTACAAAGTTCCAGTGAAATATGAACATAAAAGAATGGAGAACAGGCTGCTACCATGTTTTATCCTGTTCTCTGAAAGAAAGATAATGTCAAAGCTTATTGCATACATCCCATGGGTTTACAACAGCTCAAAATCATTGGTACTACCTGGCACCATGTCACGTCTTAAGTGATTTCTAGGAATAGTTGTATTGGACATTTCAGTATTCTCAAGATTACAGTGGGAAAAGCTTCTAAAATTACTTGCTTTGTCTTAATACTTGTATAGTCTTCTATAGTAAGTTGATTGAAAAAATTGAGGACTATTGCATAGAATATTTCAACTGGACATAATACCAGCATTCCACGTTCAGTAATTAATCTAAAACAACCATTTTATGAAATGCATATACCTGTGATAAAATTATTTCAACATAAAAATGTGGTAATAAAGAAATCATGGGTATTTCATCAAAAGGGAAAAAAATTCACATTAATTCAGGCTTTTGAAGATCATCTTGGTGGGATGGTATGGAAAATCTTTTAAAGGTCTATCAACAGAACTGAGGTAAGATTTCTGCAGAAAAAAGTATCCTAAAATGTTACATTTGTCTTTGTAAGACTTGTTGAATGTATAATCAGAAAATAATTCTTCATAGGTATGTTTTAATTGTGTCATACAAATTGCCTGTGAATTCCCAACTTGATCAGATAATATTTAGAAGGAAAGATAGCTTCTATATATATCCAGTTTATTTTAGGGTGCATTTATTTTGTTTGCACTTAAAATAGACACCTACCATTTAAAAATGGTTTCAGAAAATGACTAATTGTAATCTTAATTCAATCTTTGATATGTCCATACTTAATCAGATTAATAGATTAATCAGAAGATAAGTGTGAAATTGGTACTTTTAAGTACTCAAGTAGTCATACTTTCCTTTATTGTGTCTATGAAATTGTAAGACAGCTTTCCTTAAGCTGTTGGCCTCCAGATGTTTTGAACTGCAATCCTCAATACCCTTAGCTATCATATATGAGAGATAGAAACAATTATTTTGAAACTTTAGAAACAAAAAACTCAGAGGCTGCCAGATTGAAAGTGTTTGGTTCAAGAGATGAATGTTAATTTATTGTTTTTAAAATATTTTCCTTAAGTTGTTTGTCTTCTGTGTTCTGCCATAATTTATTTCTGATCTTATGCTTCAAAATGGTAATGTATTTTTCTACACTGTGAAAGTGATTCTGAAGTACTAAGGAAAGAGTATTCTTGTATCTGCGTATAATATTTTGTGGATCCTATGTCTTTGCAAGTTTGTGCTCAAAATCTTACCTTTTTTCAACAGTGTTTTAAGAATTGTATTGCATTGCCCTTGTTTACAGGCTTTAGAACTTCAGCAAGAGAAAATATTCACAGTATGAACATGAATAGGAATAAGATACAATATTGGTGTTTCATTAGATAACAATATTTGTTTTGAAATTATATTTGTTTCGTTTTTGAAACTTTATAAGATAGTCTTGGCATCCTCCAGATGCTTTGGACAAGGTGAAACTATGGCCTACATTAATTAATATGTTTGTTTTTGCTTATCAGTCATTTATAAATTAATTTAAGTAAATATACATAAAATCTAGTTAAAATTACAAGAGTTACAATTTTTGCCCTAAGTTAAAAATTTAAAATGTTATTCAGATTCTAAAAACTCAGCATTTATGTATTTTGTTTAGTGGTAAATCTATTGTAGCTAAATTTTATAGGCAAGAATTAGGATCCAAAGAATCATCCACTTAATTCCAGGAATTTAGGGTTGAGATATGTCTTTTTTCCTTGAACGGAAGTCTACTAACCTTCATACAATGCTGCTTTTTAAAGAGTGTTTAATAATGAAGGTTGTTATTTTAAAAAAACTAAGGCATATTCAAAATCTTGACATATCTAAAACAGCTTTGTGGCAACTAGCCAAATTTTGAGTTCACTTCAAGTTGTTTATGTATCAGAAACAAAAAAAAAGCTAGATATGCTGTAATATGTAATATACATATTTTTGGAGGCCAGGATTCACAATGGGTTCCACGCACGTACAAAATATGCACTGTTGGGCATTATGCTATATTTATAGTTTTCCTGTAGAAAAATAACTTATGTGGGAAACTACTTGTATGATATCTTTGTGTCAGTCTACTAGAAAATATTGTTGAAGGTGCCAATTTTTTCCAATCAGAAAAAAGTGGGATAATTTAATAATTCTGCATTGACTTATAATTTTGAAACAGGTACTAGATTTGTTTTTAAAAAATCCAATGGAAGAACACTGAAATTAACTTTCTTAGATTATGTGATCAAAACTTCAAATATATTTGCTAAGCTCAGAAAATAAGCATGATATTGCAAAGTATAACTTTCAGGAAAAAACCTTGGATACATGTACCCAGTTTTTTGTGTTTTCTTTTGGGATTTTAGTTCTGGCAGTCTGTTAAGCCATGTTTCTCTTTCAAAATGATATGTGTAAGTTATCTTCCAATAGTTTAATGTGCTATTATGTTGAAAAGGTGCTTTCTTGCATTATTAGGCCTTTTAAGATAGTCATTTTGCCTTCTATTTTTTGCTTTTGGCCAGATCATAACTTAATCATTTTTATTTATATTGAATCATACCATTGGTTTACACAGGTCAGTTTTTAAAATTAGTTTAAATCTAAAATAGTTTTTCCAATGTTTGCTGCTTTACTACTAAGCTGTCATTGCTTTATATAGTTTTTTAAAATGTATGTAATAAACTAAAATAGTTTTGTCAAATAGAAATAGTTCTAAGATCCAATACCACACTTCAAGAAGGATGTTGACAGATATATACAAAGAACAATAAAGTGGATAAGTGATACCAAAGTTCTATGAGGACAAAGCTTTTAGCCTAAAAAGGCAATTTAAAACATGTCATTTCCTCATGTTTGAAGGGCTTTTATATAGGTCACATTTTCAGTTACTCTAGAGCAGGGGTGTCAAACTCACGGCCCACAGGTCACTTGCTGGCCATGCCCACCTCTGGTTTAGCGAAGGAGGAAAAAGTTGCAGTATGTCATGTGATGAAAACGAGACGCCGCGAGTTTGACAACCTTGCACTAGAGGTTTAGGCTTGAACCAACAAGTTCGAATAATCAAAGATTTCAAACACTGAAAATAACTTTCTGATTATATAAAATGTTAAGCTCTGAAAGTTACATTACTTTTAGATGTTTTAGGGCAGAAGCTGGATATTTATAAGAAGTTAACTTGTATACTATTGACAGAATTACTTCTGCATTTTGAAAGTTTATTACAACTTTAATATTCGTCTTATACTAGTTTACTGCAGTGTGACTGTCTATTCTTAGATAGCAGACAGACATATATAGGTGGGTGGTGCTTCTGCTAGCATAAGCTGCTTACTCAAAGTAGTGAGTATATAAAAAGGTGCAGAAGAACTTTACTTTGCCAGAAACACTGCTTGTAATGGCTTGACACTGGAACAAAATACTGGCATGAGCCCAATAGGAGAGACATGAAATCTTCAAACTTTTTGGGGATTCCAAATTTGTATAATTTCAAAGATATGGAATTAAGCTTAAAGACATGACTAAGGTTTTCATTACATAAGTCTATTTAGTTTTTCTGTTCCCAGAAACCAAAAATTGTTACTGTTTTCAACATTTCTGCCCATTGCTTTTTTTATTGAGTCCAATTTCTATCGAAATTGCCCAGTCAAAAGATAAAAGCAATAGATACAATTCGATCATAATTATAATTTGATAATTAAACTGTAGAAACTTGCCTTTCAGCTGACCACGTGGGGCCAGAAGACCAATAAACAATGTTCAATGTCAACTGGCAGCAAGATACTTTAGAAAGATGTGTTACAGAAGTAGTGCTCCCAGTGGCAGCCTTTATCAAGGGAGATGAAAGAAAATTGTTTTCATTTTATGATAGATGACTCTTTCCTTTACAGCCAAACAGGCAAAAAGTTAATGGCGAAGTGTCGAATGCTTATCCAGGAGAATCAAGAGCTTGGAAGGCAACTGTCCCAAGGACGTATTGCACAACTTGAGGCAGAGTTGGCTTTACAGAAGAAATATAGTGAGGAGCTTAAAAGCAGTCAGGATGGTAAGGGATTTTTTAAAAAAGAAAAAGAATTGTACTGTGTTTGTGTAAGCTTCAAAAGTCAAATGTGGGTATTATACATGTCTACGCATTTAAAATGTTTTGGAAGGGATTTCAAGCTCATAAAACTTATAGTTACCAGCACAACTAAATATGGTAATGGTGAGAATTAAGCATGAATTTTTCACATGATTAACTACAATAGGCTTAATTTTAACTTGGATGATTCTGTCCTCCTTTGCAAAAGCTTTCTTTTCCACTGAACAAAATCAACATAAACTAAGCATGTTGTGGTTATTCTATAGTGTTTTGATTATTATTTTTTGAAAGGCAGAAGTGCTAGTGATAGTACATAAATTCTTAGTCTTTAAGGTATCCTTTTCTAGTTTCTTACTATATTTCAGTGCCTCAGAAAACAGTTACAGAAAGTTAGCACTTAATTTCAATGAATTTGGCACTTCTTTAATGTTGCTTCCATGTAAATGCTTAGTTGAATTGAAAACTGTTTTGTGTATTAGTATCTTCGTTAAATTTTGTTTCATAGTCATTGGAAACTTTCTTTTAAATTTTCACTAATAGGCTATTCTGGCTAGCAAACTTTGATTTAATTCTCAATAAAATTATTTTGAATGCATTTGACATTTAGTTATATAAATGTTATATCTAAGATACAAGTAAACAAATGAAATTGTACTAGAAATGATTAGTTTTTCTATATGAGATACAAAAGGAAGATAATCAGTGCTGTTTCTATGAGAATAATTTCAAAATATAATTATCAGAAGCAGTTCATAGATTTTAAGTCTAATGCCAGTCTCCACATTGCTGTTTTATCTTTTGGGATTTTCAGAAGCCATAGCTCAACATAGTTAAATTTGGGTAGTTATTAAATTGTAATAGACTACAAATTTTAAAAATCTTTTTAAAAATCTACTTTTGCCGTCTCTATATTACAATGTGCTCAAAGATTTCTATGCTATTAATTAAGACTTGGGTCTAATATTAGTTTGTTAAATGCCACAGAGAACTTATTTAATTAACATTTAAATTAAATGTACTGTATGTCATTACAGTAAAGAGCAAGTTCAATGTGATTCTATTCAGATCAATTAGATTGTGTTAGCTAGGAATCCTGGGAAATAAAAAAAAATTACTATTTATAAAGGGGAACCCTAGAATTTATAAAAGGGAAAATATGTGGAATATTTCTTGCAGAAAGGTAGAAAATATTTTGCTGCTAATATCAAATACTTTTATCTGTGTACAGTAAGCAAACCTTATTTATGAACATCAGTGCATATATTATTTTGAATTCAGTACTAGTTTTTATGTTAGGATTTGTAGATCAGTTTTGGACAGAAAATATTGCTTAGCTCAAAAGTAATTAGAAGCAGCAAGGTATATATAGCCATTTAGATAAGCAGATCCACCACTGGGACTTTTGCACATCTGTTGACCTTTTTACAAATGTATTTTTCATTTATTTCCTTTATGCTGAATTTAGGCATCAATTAAACAGATTAAAAAATCTATTTTTGAGCTTTACCAAAGCTTTAAACAAACAATTATCATGGAAATTAAAATAGGGCTTAAAATTTACATTTTAAAGTTGTTCTGTTGGACTTGTGTTGCTCACATGTGCATGCGTGCATGCAGAGAAAATAGATTATTAATAATTTAATTTACATTAAATTATTTTTAAGAGTTATGATGGAATATGTTTAAGATCAAGTAAGGTATTAATGTATGAAACTGAGCATATTATTTAGTTGTGCCCAGTTTGAAGAGACAGATACTACTTATTAAGTATATGCTCTCAATTGTTTTTCTTCATATAGAACTGAATGATTTCATCATCCAGCTTGATGAGGAAGTAGAAGGTATGCAGAGTACCATTCTAGTTCTACAACAACAATTGAAAGAGACTCGCCAACAATTGGTTCAGTATCAGCAGCAGCAGCAGTTACAAGCTTCAATTCCAGGTACCAGCCGGACTCCATCTTGTGAAATTACAGATCAGGGAGAAACCATGAGCAAAGATTGCAGTCGCCTGGCCAATGGACCAAGTAATGGCAGCTCTTCACATCAGAGGACAGCGGGGCCTGGTTTTTATCGAGAAGGTAGTGGAACAGAGGATGATTTTCCACCCTCGCCAAGCAATGGTAATAAGCTTTCCAACCACTCTGAAGATAGAACTGGCAGAGGATCTGGTAGTTATATAAATCAACTCAGTACTGGGTACGAAAGTGTAGACTCTCCCACTGGTAGTGAAAATTCTCTTACTCACCATTCAAATGATACAGACTCTAATCATGATCCACAAGAGGAAAAAACAGTCAGTGTGAAAGGTAACAGAACTTCGGGGTCTCGTCATGTTCAGAATGGTTTGGACTCTAATGTAAATGTGCAGGGTTCGGTTTTGTAACCTTTTTCTGCAAAAAAAATTTTTTATAGTGTCACTTAATTGGGAGAAGAAACTGTCCAGAACTGTTCAAATTAGTGCATATATGTCACAATTCTGCCTTTGTGGGTTTTCTGCTTCAATACCTCTGCCACTTCTGAAATTTTAACAATTGATTACGTTGAATGTTGCTAAAAGGATGTTTGTGTAAGCTCAAGGTATATTTTGAGTTAATGTGAAGTTGAAAATGGAATTTTATTTCCAGGTATAACACAATGATGTATGTACAAATCTGTGTATATCTAGAACTTGTGCTGTGTAAGGGCATTCTTTACTCATACTGTTTATAACACTCAAAACTTTGTCAGAATAGTTGTGGGTTGATGACTGCCAAGTTTGCCCAGTACAGTAGTTTTCTAACTAAACTTGGTGAGGGAGTCCTATAGTAGTTTGTGTTCCACTTTTGCCACTATGCATCTGTGTGTTCTCTTTAGATGACAATGTTTAAGAATTTTGTGTGCATAGTTACTCAGTTTTAAGAACTGTTGTATCCTGTTAATGCATATTGCTCTGTGACTCCAATATTATCTTACCTGTACTGACCAAACCCAAATAAAATTTTTAATAATGTAATTTATTTGATGCTGCTGCATTTATTTATTCAGCATTGGATTTTTCTTCATTTTATGCAGAAATCTTTATAAAATCTTTTAAAAAATATTTCTTTAATATACTGAATATATTGGGACAAATGATAGATCTTGCATTGATGTTATTACATGATGAAAGTGATACCGTAAAAACTGAATAACAAATATAAGTACTGAAAATATTCCATATCTGAAAACCTTAGTTGCACTTCTCTCTTCTTATGTACATTTGGTAAATTCCTCTTCTATTAAAAAACTGAATTTCTAAACCTGAGGTTCAATTTTAAGCCTATGTTCTACAGTATTTGGATTAGTTATTTAGTATAACTTCTATCACAGTAAATTTTCTGTTCAATTTAATGAAAATTTGTAGGAAAGAGATTATTTCAAGATAGCTTGCATGTACCTGTCAAACTGACTTATGCCTCAATGTGACAGTAGTCAAGTTGTCTATATACTGCAATTACAGTGTTGTTTTATGTACAGATTTATACACATCTTGAAATTTGTGTACTCTATAGTTTATAAATGTAGCCTATTATAGCCTTGCCATGAATGGTAAATTATAACCATTACAGTATAAATATAAATATTGTAGTATGAAAACATTATGGATCCTTAAAAGCCATTACAGAGAGCCATGTCGATATACAGTAGTGCTTAAGGCACCAGGCCAGAATCTAGACTGGGCTGTAATACTGCGTTAGGCACAAAACCATTTGGGTGACCTTGGGCCAATCCCTCATGCAACCCAGGGAAATGGAAAGTCACTTCTGAAATCTTACCAATCTTGGAGGGAATTATCCAGGCAGTTGTCATGCGTCAACACTGATTTGAAGGCACACATACAAAAGAAAACCCATAACAATCGGTAAGTTAGAAAGAGAAATTACAATTTTGATGTTTAATATAAACTTGCATCATTCTAATGCAAAATCGTACTTTAAAAACATCAATAATTAGTATTTTGGGGGTCTTGTCGATATAAATACATTCACTTTTAATCTTAATGGTACTTGCACAATGTTATCCAGACCAGGGTTTTTCTGAATGTTCAAGAGAACCCTAAGTTTCCAGGGGAACATGATGGGATTCTGTGAGAGACAAAGGGCAAAAAAGTTCACTTGAACAAAAAGGAATCCATAAGAATTTTTCTAAGATACTGTGGGAAGATGAGGTCATATCAGGAATATTCAGAAACACTCCCCTAGAGAGCAATCGTGCTTATGGTGACATAGTATTGTATGTATTGAGACAAGTAACAGGGCTTCCAGTAAATTATTTTAATGGGCTGTTCTAAAAAAGTTTGAAAACCCTTGGTCTAGCTGATCTTGCATTCTGTTTCTTAACATCCTGAAAAATCTGGGTAAGTCTGACAACTTATTTTCTTCTAATGTTCATGTAAATATCTGTAATCTCAACTCCCAATATGGCACTCTGCATTCCTGTAGATTCATCAGCAACTTAAGATGCTGACAAGACTTCCTGACCTATCTTTTTTTCAAAAGCTCCTTCCCATTAAAATGTATATAGAAAACAAGTTGCAAAACACTAGTCTGAAGATGGGAACATCTGAGAAAATTAAGTGGGGGAGGTATAATAACCAAGCAGCTGGTGTGGAGGATGGTTGCATGGTTTGAAGGGGAAAAATAGCTAAGCAATCGCATCATAAGCTAAAGGGAATGGTGGAAAGGAACCTTGCCATTTTGTTTTCTGGGAAATCCATGTAACCACACCCACCATGATAGGGTATGTCATGCTTTCAAAAATTGTATTTTTTTTTCCACCAGTAGGGATAGCTAGCTTAGAGAAAGCCACCAGAAAGACAAAAAGCAGGAAAACTTCAAGGGAGAGGTTTGTGATTTGAAAACAGCATGCAGCCAAAAATTGCCTACATTTATAAATGTATTCATTTTTAAAAGCCTGTTAGGCTTATGGTTGTTACTAAACTGCAGCAGCAAATTCCAAGTAATTGTAACTTATATAAAATATTGTTTTGCTATTGAATTTCTTAGAAGTTCATTTAATTGGTTGGTCTAAAGACAGAGTTTTTTCAACTGGAGTCACAAGCAAATTTGAGAGCCATCACACTCTCTCTGTCTAGACAGCCACCTTTTGTCTTGTCCAGGTAGAACAAGAGCAGAGTCTGGCAACAATTCTGTTGTGCATTGCAAACCAGACTTGTGCACCCAATTCAAATCGCTGTCAAGAATGTGCTGCCAAGGGCAACTTCATCATTTACAGTGTCCCTGCTCTCTTGCTTTGGATATGCCTTCATGTATAAGTCACTTGCCTGCCCACCAAGCCACACTAGTGCCCTCATACATCTTATTTGGACTTTCTGCTCTCCTTGAAGCCTGTTGTCTTTAACCCAGTGGTATTCCTCTGCACATCACAGGCAAAGATAGGGAGGCAGCAGGGTGGACGGAGTGAGATCGTCACTGCTTAGGACCTTGTGTTCCACGGCTGCTATCACAGAATGGCTGCTTCAGTGATGGAGTGCAGAGCTGAGAAGCAGCATCAGCATCTCAGCAAATTCTAGCAATTTGGCTAGGAGACAAGACTGTTTCTAATGAGAAAGAAAATGGAATGATACCCTTGTCCAGGAAGCAGAAGTAAGGCTGAACTCCTTGGTTGGCCTCTGCCAGTTGCATTCTACCATGTTAACCACAGTACTGTAGCAAATCTGTATTGTCCACAGAACTCTCACGTAAGAGATCATCCTTATCTGTCTCCCATGAACCTGTAGAAAGACAGGGATTAGCAGAATTTTCAAAATTCTGCTACTAGGCACTATATCAATATTATTTCACTTAAACTTGTGGAGTCTGTTTCTTGACCTGATCTATCTTAGAGTGCTGCCATCAAATTTGAAAGCCTGATTGTGTTTCCTTTTCCCTGTCTCCTATACTCCAGCAAATTATGGTGGAGCCAAACTGAGCTGCTTTATCACACTTCTATTTTCTATACTTAAAGTACACTTCCTTTTTTATAACCATTTCTATATATTTCCTCCAAAATCATTCATTTTGATTCATACTGCACTTGGATGTCAACCCTCGAAAAGCAATGGCCCTATTCCGGGTGTTAAATTACCATCTTGTACACCCCAAAGGAGATAGTCCCTGTTTTTACCTTACACTAATAATTTTCTCCCCATTACAATCCTAAAAAATGGGAGTGGCCAAGCTGTAGAATTTGAGCCAATCCCTATTTTTGCCATGTTGGCAGATCTGAGCAGAGCTGGACCAGCTGGAAGGTTCTAGATCAGGACTGTCAAACTCCCATCCCACGGACTGGATGTGTCACATGTTGGCCATGCTTGGTTTAACGAAGGGGGGGGGGGAAATCCTGATATGTCACGTGACACCGTGATGCCATGAGTTTGACACCCCTGATCTAGATTCAGAAATAACTGGTGCCTGGGCATAACTGTCCTGTGCTGGGGAAGTTTCCATATCATCTCTAGCAGTCCCTGATGCATTTGTGGAAAATTTGCCATACCCTCTATAGTGGATCAAATGGAGGTTTGAGCCTGATGCTCAGTCCTATACACCAGGATTTCCGGCATAGAAGAAGCAATTATACTGGTAGGAAAAATTATCTTACTGGCCTAGGCTCCCCTAAAAGTCATTCTGGACTCCAAAAAGCTACCTCCAGAAATGGTGAGACTCTGAAGGGTCTCTTGCTTCCTGTCAAGTCAGCTTGACTTTTAACTTCAGATTGTTGCCTATTTTAAATAAGACCAAGGTCTTCATTATTTGTTATTTAACTATCCTGCTGATTTAGGAAACAGCACTTCTAACAGAATCCAAGGAAGTTAAATTAAAAAGATATAGGACAGTAGCTGAACACAGTACATGTTCTGAGAGGTAACATAACCATAGTTTACTCAACCCAATTTTATATTATATTGGAAACCATGAATTAACAATACTTGCTGAGATTCTCAATGCATTATGGTATGCTAAAATCAACTAGTTTGGAGTGACATTTATGATTCAATATGCTCTGGAAATCCAGATAGCCAAGTTAATTCAGTAACCATAATTCAATGAGCCAGAGATTGAGAAAAAAAAGGAGTTGTGTCTTCTCTAGCTTTTTACATTAAGTAAATCTCACAGGACTTGATAGACTGACTAAATTATGTGCCATCAAATCTTTTTTTTGACTCATGGCCACTAAATATAGTCACACTTACCAAAGCTTTTAGAAAAAAAAATTGCTCATGGATCTCTGCCCATCTGCTTGGATTGTGAGAGAATGAAAAAATATTGCCTGAGTTGGGAGTCTTTGGAAAACTATGAAATTTTTTATTTGCTAAATGAATCAGTGCTGCAATAACGTTTAGAAATTACAGCCATTAATTTCCATTATTGTAGAAACATGAATTAATTTCTGCTATTACTCCTGTGGGATAGGAGTGAGCTGCATTTTAGCAACATCTGTGTAACATGAAAAAGCTTCTAATGTATTATGAAATAGTTACGCTAGAAACTCAACAGTTTTGCTACATTCTCATTATTTAGTTGTCAGGATGGAAGTTATTCCACTGGTCAGGTAGCTGTAGCCCAGAGGTCTCCAACTCTCAAAATTCTCCAGCCAGCTTATAGTTGCCAAGTTCGGACAGCCCTGCTCTAGTCCAGATCACAAACCATTCAGTTATAGCAGGCAGGGTGCAGACAAGAGTGAAAAGTTTTACTTTCTCCCACACAAGTTGTGTTGCCACATACACCTGGTTAAAGAGTGCAGAGAAGAGCAACAAAAAATGATTAGGCGGCTGGAGGCTAAAACATATAAAGAGAAAGGTTGCTGGAATTGGGTATGTCTAGTTTAATGAAAAGAAGGACTAGGGGTGATGATAGCAGTGTTCCAATATCTCTGGGGGTGCCACAAAGAAGAAGAGGGAATCAAGCTATTTTCCAAAGCACCTGAAGGCAGGACAAGAAGCAATGGATGGAAACTTATCAAGGAGAGAACCAA